AGCCTTTCTACTTCTACTCCTGGCTCCTTCTTACTGCTGTCTTTCAGCCACACCCCTAATCTTCTAGTAGGAAAGATCTACACCTAGCCTTCTCGGACAAGGCAAAAAAATCTCGGAGGCCCGGTGTGCAAGGTGCACACGTCAAATATACCTTTGTGGTCTAAAATCGATAAGAGTAGCAGGCTTGGCTGCCAACTGGGCAAAATTTAAACTTTCCTATCAACTGAAAATTAATGTTTAGAGTGTCCCGCGCGTTCATATGACCTTAAGCAGTTGCGAACGCTGTAAAACACTAGCCCCCCCCCCCCCCAAAAAAGGCAAAAAACCCAACCTCAAAAAACATAATGTCTTTTCCGCTCTGTGAAATCAGGTGGGAGTCAATCTTAGAAGCCCTCTCCAAGATCACCTTGTCCAGAGGAGCAAGAGACGACGATGCTGTTGACCAGTTCCACCACTTCGCCTCTGTGGCTATTTTCGCTGCCAGCGCTGCTCTGATAGGCATGAACCAGTATGTCGGGGACCCTATCCATTGCTGGGTGCCTGCCCAGTTCCCTGATCACCATCAGGTAATGTGATCGCCTAGTCGTGTTGTGTTGCTTTTCCAATTAGAACAGTGGTTACTGTAATTAATGCTTGTAAATTGAAATTTTAACCATTATGATGCTTCACTGGATTGATCGACTTCTATTCAGTGCTGATATGAGTTTGGTTGTTAAATTGAAACGAAAATGAGCTTTTTCTATAGAAGACTTTTTGAGAGCAATGATAGTCTAGTACATTGTATGTTACTTTCAGACTAATTGATATTTTTGGTCTATTGTAAACACAACTAAAAAAGAAGAGAAAGTGTTTCCTAAACACCAGCAAATGGTAAGATTTCCCAATACTTTGAATAAAGGCTGGTATTTTACTGTGATATGAAACAGTATTATAAATGCTAAAGTAACTAAATTGAAATTTTTCTGTCCGATGTTATAATACATGAAATGTTATGGGATGCCAGACATTTGTAAAACATTGCAATTGAGAAGGAAAAGGTACAGAATATATAGAACAAGACACAGAAACTTCTGAAGAGAGTAGACAGGAACACGATAATGCCTTGATTATGTATTATATACCCATATTTTTTTTAATGCTATGATGGTAAGAAAGAGTTATGTGGCTCCTCAGTTCCTTTTGTGGTCAGTATAGAAACAAAAACTTATATTAATAGGCTACCATCGAGTGGTGAGTTGAACATTAAAAGACTTGACAAAAATTGGAGTCTGAATGTTTTTCTTTCTCCATACTATAAATGAAAAAGAGACAACATTTCTAAAGGACAAAAAAATTTCTTGGAAAAGTGAATCATGTAGCACTAATTTCTAATATAGCTTTCTCTAATTTACTTAGCCCCGCGACATTTTATCTCCCCCCCCCCCTCCATGCTGTCTCCCTCATTTGCACGTTGGGTTTTTTTCAGTATATTTTATTGCTGTTCACTTAATCGTATTCTACAGGATTATGCGGAGAACCTTTGCTGGATTTCTCAAATGTACTATGTCCCCATGGATGAAGAAATCCCTTTCTACAAAGACGACCGTATGAAACGGGACATCAGCTTCTACCGTTGGGTGGTTGCCATCTTCCTCATCCAGGTACAAAAAATTGTGTATATATTTAATTTTTTTTTTCAGGAACAACAAATTCTTGCTCTTGCTCTGTTGATGGAGTTTCCATTTTTAATTGTCAATGGTATCCTAAAACCTACACACCACACAGTTTTTAAGAAACAGGCCTTTGTAAAACTGCCTGGTGTATAAGATTAAAAATTCAACACAATCCAACCCCACATAATGGTTTCAAAATTAATTAACATGAACATAAACAAGAACATTAATTATAGCTTGGATTCTTGAGTTCTCAACCAATCGATCTCAATATGTAAAATTAAATGGTGTAAAATCCGACTTAATATTCACGAACACCGGTGCACCCCAAGGTTGTGTAGTCTCCCTTGTCTTGCTTATAAATTGGTGTGATGACCACTTCATTTTACTAAATAAATGTAAAAAAGACAAAAGAATTAATAATAGACTTTAGATTTTAAAAAGACCAATTGCAACCACTATTTATTAAAGATGAGGAGGTGGAGGTGGTAAGCTCTTACAAGTATCTTGGTGTAACTATCGATAACAAACTTGACTGGCATCCACACACTGCTCTTGTGCATAAAAAAGTAAATCAAAGAATGTTTCATTTAAGGAAAATTTTGCGTGTCGATAATAAGATTATGTCCCTTTTATACCATTCTATGATTGAAAGTGTGCTATTATTTTGTATTTGCTGCTGGGGTGGGAATTGTAAGGTGAAAGGTAAAGAAGAATTTGACAGAGCCATTAAGAAAGCCAGCAAGATGTCTGGATATGATTTTACTAGAATAGATGAAATTATGTATAACACAACACGTATAAAAAAGATAAAAAGCATTATGAACGACCAATCACACCCCCTTTCCATGCAAATTGTAAGGTCACGCAGCAGCAGATATTTTCTTCCAAAAACAAATAAAGAAAGATATAAAAGAAGTTTTTTTACCATCTAGTGTAAGGCTTTTGTCAGAATGAGCTTAGATGTGTGTTGCTGTTTTGAGTATGAATCTATATAATATAAAACTCCAAAGGTCTTGTACAGGTAATTAAATTCCTGCATGACTGCATGTGGTTGAATGATGCATCTGATGTGAATGTACATTTTGTCAGCTTTACTTCTCTTTTAATATTGAATTTTAATGAGAGTAATATATCATTTAAATTTTCTAAGTATACCTGCATGTGTCTTTGTGGTCCTGTACAACCAAGAAAAATTTCCTTGTGGGATAATAACGTTGTTTTTTAAAATTCACTTCCATCTTTATTCATTTACTCACATCAAGGAACAGCCACGTATATTTTCAAAAATGTAAAAGTGTGAAAATTAAAATCAAAATTAAGATGTGAAACTGAAGAGCTCACAAGAATGATACAATTATACGATTGTTAAAATGCGCAGCGCAATCTTAAGATAGCCGCGCAATTATACATTCGTTAAAATGCGCAGCCGATCCGTAAATTGCATGGAACATATATAATGCATTTCTATCCCAAACCTGTAGTGATTCCAGCCGTGTCACTCTTTCTTCCCCAGTGTCTTTTGTTCAAGTTTCCCAACATGCTGTGGAAGGAACTGCGTGGCTATTCCGGCATCAACGTGCAGAAGATCGTCAATATGGCAGAAGAAGTTTCCACCTCTCCTCCTTCTGAACGAGAGGACAAGATAACAGACATCACTTTGTTTGTCGACAGATGGCTTCAGAGCTACAGGGTGTACAAAGTGAGAAATCAGATTTGTTTTAGCTTTTTGAAATGTGCGGAATTGCAAAACTGTGCAGGTTTAACACCTCTTGCGACTCCCTGTATAAGTTTTTTTTAAAGAGGCGGTTTTAGGTGTTAAAATGGTGTTAGGTGATTAAGATGTACAAATTATTACAAGCAATCATAATGTGAAACGTTTATGAAAGGCGCAATAAAATATAAATGCAGTTTTCAAGGACGCTCAAACTTTGGAATTCACCTAGGTTTGACTGCTATTTCTATTTTTTGCTAATTTTACTGCTGAAGCCAGGTGACCCCCCCCCCCCCCCCCCCCTTTCTTCAATCACAAATATTTGTATTTCAACTTCTATTTAAGATGGATGGGTTTTTAAAAAAAAACAAAATCAGCACAAAATAACAAGCATTGAGATGATACCAGTAACTCCATGTGCCCCAAAATTAAGGTACACGTGACTCCTCCACGTCTTGACACAAATGTGTAAATTATCACAAAGGTACATTTATCCTGAGTACATCGTGATGATTAAGGTGTGTTAAGTGTCACAAGTATGTATCTATCCTCAGTACACTATTATGGTTACGATGTAAATTATCACACACATGTATCTATCCTCAGTACAACATGATGATTAGGATGAAGGAAAAGATGACTAGCATCTTCTGCTTTGTCCTCGGAAAGAGACAAGGGACGTATCTGACTGGCCTGTACCTGTTCACCAAGCTCCTCTACCTGGTCAATGTCATCGGTCAGTTTGTGATGCTCACAGCTTTCCTCAAGGTAATTACAATGTAGAATCAGTATGAGTTCTTCAGCACTTGCAGCACAATTAGGTGGGGATAAAAGTGCAGAAGGTTAGAGGTATTATTAGAGAGTAATGTGCAAAGAAAAGAAGGAGGAGCAAACCACACCAGAGCATGGAAATTAAGGGGAAAGGATACTTTGAAATTGTCTGTGTACTTACAAGCTTCCTTTTTGAGTAAACGTACATGTGTGGGTTTAAGTTAACAAGCTTTATCAACACACTTGGGTTAGAGTAACTTGACTATTTGCGGCCACGAGCGAACATTCCCCCCTAGCTAGCACTGCTTCTGCACTAAGAGATTCCCAACTTGATTTTCGTGGAGGAAAAAGCCGCAGGAAGGGCCCTGACTTGGCCGGGAATTAAAAAATTTCAATTACAGAGTGCCGTGGGTGTTTTCTGCACAACTTCGGCGTACAACTTTGTGGCCGGCTGCCCTGAGCGCTGCCGACGACAAGCCACAGATGCGGCCACCTGACCTAGGTGCGGCCGAATCCATGCCTGTTATGCTGCCAGGCCTTAAACAAGCTTCAAACACTTGAAAAGATGACAAATAAAGAAGGAAATCAATCTCAAACGCATGTGCAATTTGAAATTGATAGGCCTACATTCCACTTTAATGGGATTCAATAGACTCTTGATCAGAGCATGCAAACTAAATGGAAATCAATGTCATAGAAGGCAAACGTGGACTTTCAAAATTAAAGAATGGTACATACAATTTAAATGAGACTCAATCTACTTTTGATCAGAGCGTGCAAACAAAATGGAAATCAATGACAGCGTAGATCTATGCAAAAAAGTGCAAGGATGAGAGATCTAGATCTACATCTACTCTTGATATGAGCAGAACGGACATGTCTCATGTCTCTGGTCTCGATCTCTATGTAACCAGAGAGATCATCTGCCACAAGGTACGATCTCCACCGTCATGCTGACCAAGTGAATCCCCACTTTCGTGCACAGTGTCTGGCTTTCCTTCCACTTCAGCCAATGCTGGCATTTCGTTTTCAGTTCCGACCATGTTGCAGTCCTCCACCTCTTCTTCATTCACCTCACGCATATTATTCTCTTTCTACTCCAACCACTGATCTTTTGTTTCCATCTGTGTCACTCTCAAGCATGTCTTCTCCTTCTGTTTCTTCTGCTTCAACCGCTTGTCTTTTAATGCCTTCATTGTCAGTAGCAGAACTGTTTCTATAAAAAATTATCTCCGTCTGTGGTCCGACTCTTGATCCTTCATCAAGTTCAGACGTTTTATTGTCCATATGTGTCATCTCTGTGGAGTTTCATATCCTTCCACAACCCCCACTTCAGCAAATATGGATTCCTCAGTCGAACATTCTTCTTCCATGAAATCTTTCAACTGCAGGTCATCTTCATCAATCAGGATCATTTCACTTTCATTGAAATCTGCACTTGTATCATAGTCTGAGTCGTTCAACCTCTTCATGGATTTTTTTTCATTTCACTTTGGACTTCTTTTCTTTTGCTTCTTACTTTTGCTTCTTCTTATTCTCAATCCCCTTCTCCTTGGCTAGTCTCCTCTCTTCTTGCATCTTCTTTCTATATTCTTTCTCCACTTTGCTTCTTTAGATCCTCTAGCTGTTTTTCTCTTTCTTTTCCAGTCTTCCATTTCTCCTCTTCCATTTTGGCTCTGTCTACTTTTCTCATTTCCATCTTTGCTTTCCTTTTGATCTTTCTCTCCTTGTTGATTAAGAGTCAATAAGTTCTTGCCCACTGATGAGCGATGGAATCTTTTCCAGCGATGTCTTTCTCTTGCCACCATTACTCCTGCGTTGCAAAGAAGGAAGAACGAAGGGATCTTTCAGTCTCAGATTGACTTGGCATCTCCCCATCCCTTCATTGACTGCTTGTTACACATAGTCAAAGGCTTCTTTTGTCTCATTTGGTTTCCCACTCATTTTGAGACCTGGGAAAACACATTTTTTATATAGATCATGGTCACTCCATGACATACTTGAGTTTTTTTGAGTTGGTGTTTAACGTCTATAATTAAAACTAGTAGGTCATTTAGGCAAGTTAACGTGCTGTTACACTGGGATACAAAATGTAACAGAACTTATCCAGGCACTGTATACTGACACCAGGCCAACCCGTCATAACACTAGTCCCAATGCCGATGCAAGGCGGGACAGCTGATAGATCTAGATTGCCAGTTTTTTAAGTCTTAGGTATGACTTGGCCGGGAATTGATCCCACGGTCTTGCATTCCCGAGGAGGACGCCTTACCACTAGGCCACTGAGATCGGTGACATGCTTGAAAATATCGTATTGTTTTGTTACCAGTAGATCCAGATCTAGCTTTATTAAGTGGAAAAAAAGCTTTTGCAAACAGCCTACCTCTATCGAGAACAAGGTCTAGATTCTCTCTCAAGACCTTAGCCTTCATTTGACCAGGGTTATCTATCAGGACCTCTACTGTAAAGCCCGTCTTCGGTGCGGCCAATTCGACCGCTTGTGGGCCCACATGAAAAATTACCTTGCCCGGGCTGTGACCTTCGACGTTTCTCCGAAAGTTTACGTTTGAGCGATATTTATACAATGTTAGGCTTAAAATCATGCATTTTAAAACCCAGACACTGCACTCGGTTCACAAAATAATGATATTTAGATTGTGATAAGAGTTAATGAAAAACTCACCTGAAAATTCACAAAGGGATGTTTTCTGGGTTGAATAGTTCAAACTCGCATCACGTGTGTCGGAACAGCGAGAAAGACCGGAAATGAACGTGAAAGCATTGGCAGACTCAAGGGAACCTACTGTGGTTTATTCAAAGCCTTACAGCAACTGGAATGCGAGTTATGAATACTGGCCGCACTCCCAGCAGTGGCCACGAGGGGGTCAAGCTACTCTATTTAAGAGGGGACCTCCGAATTAAGCGTCCGTCTTCAATAGGACCAGATTTAAAAATTGGCTGAGCTCCTTGAAGACTAAAAAAACCCACTCAAATTTTAAAAAGCCCAGTTTAGGATTCAAACCAGGGCTGTTTGCTTTGTAGTCCAGTCTTCCCATATGATCATCAATGGCCTATGACATTTCTTGAAGAAGAGATCTCGAAAACCTTTCTAACCCTTCCAAGACAAGAACAATCTTACACTGAACATACCTTCATTACTTCACACATTAAGGAAGGTCTTTTAGTTTTAGGGCACTTGCTTCTTCTTTCCTAATTCCTATCAAATATATGTCATTATTTGGCACTCATATGACCTGTTTGTCATTAAAGTGTTGTAAAAAAATTAATACAACTAAATTAAACAGCTCAAACTGTTTTGAAATTATTTTATTAACAGTATTCCACTTTTCTCATTCTGATACATGTACCTTTTCCGTTTTCAGTTCAACTACTGGTGGTATGGCTTTGAGGTTTTGCAACATCTAGGAGGCCGCTGGGTGGACATTGAACATTTTCCCAGAGTTGTGATGTGTGATTTCGAGATCAGACAGCTTCAGAATATACAGACATATTCTCTTCAGGTCAGGATAGGTTAATAAAATACAGTTTCTGGAAAACATAATTTTTTCATGTGCTTGCGTTACCGGTAGGGCCTACTCAGTTATTTCTTGCATCGGTATGGATTTCATTCTGATCTGCTCTTAAACTTGCCCCTGTGTCTTGTGGAAGTAAATTGTTTTTTTCCCGTCTGTAATGTTTTAGTTTTTTTAAAGTTTGACTACTACTTTATTTGAATGGAACTGGAATAAACAGTGCTGGTATTTCTATGTGGTTTTGATCTTGCTTTCAAAATTGATAATTGATGCATTTTTTGTTCCCTCTTGATCTGGTGTTGTCATATGAGGTAAATTTGACTTACTGAAAAAAGGTCTACTCAATCAAACAGCTTAGTGCAATGTTATTGGGGGGGGGGGGGGGGGGGGGTTTAAGATACAAATATATGTAATGTCAAGGCTGAAAACTTCAATTTACTATTTGAGATTTTCAGTGTTTACTTTACGTTTGCATCCACAGTGTGTTCTGAGCATCAATCTCTTCATTGAGAAGATTTTTGCAGTCATCTGGTTCTGGTTGTTTATCTTGATGATTGCGACCATCATCAACTTTGGCATGTGGTGCTACGACATATTCATGAGGTTTGATCATTTTATATTTTGTTTTTTTTATTTTACATCCATTTGTCATGATAGTGGATTAGTAACATAGAAAAGTGTCCATTCAATTTTTCTGCTACAGTCTCAAAAAGTCTCCTTGTTTTTTTTCCTATAATAATATAGCTTATTGTATTATCATTGTCAAGTGGGGAATAGGTCAGGAAATGAGGATGACAATGAGTATCAGTGCTTGTAAGTATTTTTGCTAAGTGTTGAGTATAATACTTTTTTTATTCTCTTGTTTAGCATCAAAGGGCTGTTGGTGGTATTGGTATTTTGTATCTTCCTTCTTGGAAAATATATCATTCAATTTAATGAGGTCAGTTTTTATTTCTTTTATTCAAGTTAATTTTATTGCTTTTACAGTTTTATGATATGTATGCAGGACACTCTTGTGGGTCAGCTGTTTTTTGACTTTTACATTTTCTGGTATTGGTGGGCGTCACCGGGAGAAACAGTTGTCTGTCAGCTTTGTGCTGAGTGGTTTGGAGGATGGTCATGTCATAGACTCCGAAGTCTATCTAGCTACGTTTTGGTCTCCCTCTGTTCCTTGTGCCTGAGTATTTGGTGTTGTAGGCTTGCATGCTGGTTGGTCTGGGAGCATTATCATGTGGCCAGTTTTGCATCAGCTCGATATTGACTTTATTTGTGTCACGATGGATGGAATATGGGGCTTGTCAAAATAATGAAATCGAAGAAACTGATATTTTTCAGGTGGTTTGGGAATGTTTATTGATTTTTTTGTTTTTTCACTCAACACCTTTTAAGTCCATTTAAAAACACATTCTAGGTGGACTTTAATGAAAAACATTGATCAAAGGCTCGAAAAAATGTAACTTTTCAGTTTCATGAACTCTCAAGCTGTGGAAGTAAAAAAACTTTGGTGACCATTTTCTAGCTAATTTTACCCTTGAAAGCAGGCGACCCCCACCTCCTTCCATCGCAAATATCTTGACTTCTGTTCAAGATGGATGGGTATTTTAAAATTATAAGTGAGGCAAGATGATACCAACAACTCCATATGCCCAAAAATTGATGAGCGCCTGATTCCACTGCATCATGATACTTTTTATCAGCTGTGGACTGTTTTATGTCTCTCTAAAAAAACAACTGACTGCAAGATTTTTGCATTATGACACAAAATAATAAATACTGACATAATTTCTTTTCTTGTTCTTTCAGCAAACGCAGGGAACACTTTATTCAGAAATACCTCATCATTTTGGGAGACAACGATTCACGAAGAGAGAGATCTCTCTTCAAGAAGTTTGTGCAGAACTATCTTCGTGATGATGGAGTCTTCCTGCTGCGTTCTGTCGGTAACAACTCCAGTGAAATCATCCTCATGGATCTGATTAAGGAATTGTGGAAGAACTTCCGAAAGAGCAACCGTAAGGAGGCTGACGGGAATGGTACTGCGGCTGGAAGAGAGGTGGACCCAACTGAGTCGCATGCTTAAGCAGGCTTGTTTCTCTGGCTTGGTTTCTTAAGTTTTCGTAAGAGTTTTACGGCACTTGAAACAGAATAAGGTCAAAGAGAGCAGAAGATTAGAGGAGTTACATGAGAGTAACAAACGCAAAAAAGGAGGAGAGATCAGGACAACAGATGTTTGACAGAAAAGAAGGATCAAACCACACGAGAGCACCCACCAACCACCGACTGGCTTGGGTTCTCCACTTACAATACTGGAAAATCAAGAGGGACAGTTTCTTCAGTGGCTCTACTTTACTTTGAATGTAGCAGTTAGAAGGACTAATCTGAAATAAACTGTCAATGTCAGCATTAATATTAAATGAAAAATACTGAGTTTAGTGTGTGTGGGGGGAGGGGGGGGGGTTGATTTTTTATAGTGGTAATTGATTCATAGCAGTAGTTGTATAGTGCGATCTAGTCCTCTGCTAATGAATGGAGATGTTTTCCATTTTATCGAACCAGTTTTGTTTGACGAACTTTTTGAGAATGAGAACTGTGATCTCTAATTAAAGACTTTTTTCGTTTATTTGAGATGACTGTCTGAATAAAGAGAATCACATCGAAGCAGTACTGGTAATTTGATGCTGAGAAAAAGTAAGACACACTGACAGAAACAACAGAGGGAAAGTTAATAAATAAGACCTTCCAGTGGCGCCCTCCAATCACCAACCGGACCTTTTTTGTGAAGACAAAGAAGGCTGTACGACATAGTGAAAACTTGACTAACAGAAAATCATCAGAGCTAAATAATGGCACCATCTTCATATTGCCTGTCTAACGAAACAGTTCAATGTCACAGGCTTAAGAAAGAATCTTGCAGCATGTGACTGATTTCATCTTTTCTTTTTGTAATTAATGTTGACATTTTCTCTACTCAACATGGCCAGTAGGCAGTAAAATATATCAAATGACCTTTTAAGGCTTTCACTTTTTTTTCCTCATTGTGTATTTTTGATGGTCATCTGTGATTTGGTGTCTACCCTTAGTCACTGAAATTTTTTTTGATGAGATTTATTTTACTTTCCACCAATTAGCCTATATTTTCCTGCCAAATGTAGGTGTAGGTCTATGCTGTACTTTTGTTTAGCTACTTTTTAACTCAAATTCTTGGGCATTTTGAAACTGTTGATGTAGCATGCAATATTATTTTTAAAGAGTGTCTTTTTGTTATTTTTTTATTAAAAGAAATGCAATGCAGTGTGTACTATAAGTCATAATTCAACTTTTGATGGTTAAAATACATAAGTTTTGTATGAAATGACTTCTTGATTTTTTAAGGATCATATCAGCTGTTTAAGAGCCTGATCTGACTGTAATTGTACTGGGTTTTTTTAAATTATCAAATTCAAAAGATCATAGCTAAAATAAAATACTTCATGAAATTTTATTTTTTACAACATTAGACGACCTATTTATATTTGATTATATAACAGGTCCCCTGTTTTCAGACACAAAAAAACTTAGTTGAAGATCGCTGGAGTATGCATACCCTCTAATTAAAGTTGAGATTGCTGCTTGGTTGAGAAATGTATATTGCTTTCATAATGAGCGCATTGGCTTAGCTTAATTTACTTTTTTGGCATGTCAGGTTTGTAAATGGCTTCAACATTTGAGATGTTTTAGACGATATTTGTGATTGTTATATGATTTTGTGCCTTTTTTTTCTGTACTTAATGTGTACGCTTCTTTTGTACTAATGTAAGCGTAGGCCTACTTCCACAGGTGATCACATAAAACTGCAACTCCAGTGACATGTTATATTGTGTCTGAATCAACCAGCTGCACCATTATAGAACGCAAGAGAATTGGGTTACAAAAAGCAGGGGTAAAACATGGGTTTATACAACTTGGCTAGACGGCATCAAATAGATCCTTCTAAAGAATGATATATTTATTTATATTTATATATATATATATATATATATATATATATATATATATATATATATATATATATATGTAGATGTAGATATATATATATATATATATATATATATATATGTATCAACAGCAGAAGCAACCCACTGGACAAAAATTGCATTTCTGCTCTACATATACTGATAAAAGAGGAAAGAAAGAAAAAGTATTGTGTGGTGTGGTCAATGTTCTGGTCTTCCTTGGGGGGGAGGGGGGGTATTTTTTTGTTTCTTATTTCTGTCTTGTGGGGGTGGGTGGGGGGGGGGGGGCACTTTTACAGTTGTCTTCCAGAACAAAAGAAGTGAAATCTTCTATGCTTCCTCTACCTCCATGACCTGTATGGTGTTCAGTAATTTTCTGCATCTGTATTTTCTTAACATGACCAAACGTGACTGCCATATTCAAACATCAAGCACTTGTTTACCTGTCACAGACAATAACGGTACAGCATATTTAATCAACTTGATAACACTGTAAAAAAAAACCAACAACAACAACAACAACAGAATGGTCTGGTTTGAATTCTTCAAAAGACTTTCAATTTTGAAAATCTTTCTGGAAAAATGTATTTGTTACAAGGCTTGTGAATCTATTAATTCCTGCGATTTTTGTGAACTACAATTTTTGTATTCACTAATTTTTCATTAGTCTCTTTCTTCCTTTTATTTTTATTATGATTGTCCTTAGCTCTGTAAAGAATGCTTGCTTGTACACATTCTGCTGTTTTGAAGTTTGTATTTATGTACAATTAAGTCAAAAGAAACGGTTCTTGCATGGAGTGAAATCAAAGGTACCTGTGCTTGTTATGTATAAGACTGCAAAACAGAGATGGCAACAGAATGTATAACTATCAGTTTTCTGTTGTATAAGAGAAGAATTTGGGTACCCTGCTGTTTTAACATCACCTTTCAGTATGGGATGTTCAGTTTCTAAGTTCTCATCAAGTATTGTATTATGATGTGCCCTCTACTTAACATTCATGCTCTTGTGTCATCAAGAGGAATAAATTACACAATCATGGTTTTCAAGAAGATATTGATTAATTGAAACTCTTTTGTGGGAAAAAAAAACTTTTTAAAAACTGTGAGCTTGAGATTCAGAGATTTCTATTTGCTTAAGAAACTTGAAATGACCAACCTTTCTGCAAACCATTTGAACACAGCTCGCTCTTCTAACGACGTTATATTTTACAAAATTACTGTCTAACATAAGTTTTGTATTGCTTTGTTTTATATTACATACTGCCGTGCAAAGGTTAAGTTACTGTCATGTGTTTCATGTATTCGGACAGGCGCATCTGGCTCCCTGTTGTATTGGGTAAATTTTGGCATGAATGATCTGTTGTCAGCTTAAAAAACCCACAAAATTTGAAATCTTTTGCTGCAGTATGCTGAAAAAATTTGCTGGTAGGGGAAAATATTGTACTTGCAAAGCTGCTTGTGCATAGCGAAATAGTCTTAAGGATTTCTGAAATTATGGTATTTTACTTTTTATTGTGGGCTATAATAATAATAATAATCATATTATGTGTGTTTTTGGTACAAGCTACGTTGTGCATTATGTGTGTGTCCTTTTTTAAAATAAAGTGAAAACCCTTTCTATAATGAAAAGAAAAGAATACTTTGGCAAATTGTATAAAGTTTGCTTCTGTGAGGGCGCATTCAACCTTGCTATGTTACATTATTTCCCATTCCAGTGTCTTCCATGCAAAAAAGCACAGCTGTTTTGTATATTCTGTATATAGTAGTACTATAAACATGGTATATTGGCATTTTTAGCCACTATTGCTTCGTTCACTGTAAATATACATCTCATAATACCATTTGTTTGTAAAAGTTTGACTTTTGAATAGGTCGATAATAATTCTAAAAGGTGGTATAGCTTTTCTATAATGTAAGATGGACATTCCTGAGTTTAAGAATAATTCTAATGTTTTATTGAAATTTAATTGACCACATTTGCCAATATAAAAATGAAAGAAACCGACTCTTCAATATTCTTGTATCAAATCATATTATTAGCAAATTTACTCCTTTACATTGATCAAAAATGAAATTAATTGTTTTGAAGATTTATCTCGATATACGTAGAAAAGATTAAAAGTGCTTATGCATGATCGTCTTTATTCTCTTTTACTTTTAGCTTTTTAGTTATTTTACATCTTCGTTATGATATGGACAAAGTAAAATCATTTTTTTCTTTTTAACGTTGTATTGTAGACTTCATGCAAGTGACATCACCTTCAACATGCTGTAGATTGTGGGTTCTTTTCCATTTAAAAAAAAAATCTTTTCTGTGCTATAATTTGCATCTGCCTTTATTTTCCGTAAAGATATATACATTTATATTTCATGCCCACATACACCATTTTGGAATAAACTTTATCATTAATAAATACTGTTGAAGGGCTTTCAGTATTTTTGCTCTATGATTCTGTATTCTTTTCCCATGTGCCCTTCAACGTTTATGTTTGTGCAAGTGTTTGTCCCTGTGTCTTGCAAGTGTGTTTATGTGTGAACATATTATGGTTTTGTGTGAGTGTATGTGTGTGTGTCTGAGTGTGTGTGTGTGTGTGTGTGTGTGTGTGTGTGTGTGTGTGTGTGTGTGTGTGTGTGTGTGTGTGTATGTGTGTGTGAGTGTCTGCATGTCTGTCTGCATGTCTGTCTGCATGTCTGTCTGCATGTTTGTGATTGTGTTTGTGTTTTCTTTTTCCTAAAAAGGGTGGGGGCAGGGTGATGTGGGGAGATGGGGGAAGTATCAATGTTTGATACAGACTGTTGGCCTGAGATGATCTGATTCTGTTGACACTCACGAGTCTTCACATCAACCTCCAAGCCACAGATAACACACAAGTCAAAACCGGAGTCTGTGGTGTAGCGGTAAGGCTCTTAGATCGCTGCCGCGCGCAGGGGTCGAGTTCAATTCCCGAGTGCGGAGAAAACCGATTTTTTTTTGTAGAGTATCTCGGTCTAAAATAGAAACATCTCAATGACTACCAAAGTGAAAGTTCTTTATTGCTGTATGTATAGTCAACCCTTCCAAGGGGCAGTGAATGTTGGACAATCACTAAAGACAGTGAAAATGAAATAGAAGCAACAGAAATGTGGTTTCATAGGAGACTGCTGAGAATATCGCGGAAGGAAAAGAAATCAAATGAGGCTTAAATGAAGCCCACGTGGGACACTCACTGTTAAAAACAATCGGGGAAACGACAAATGCAGTTTTCCGGACTCTTGAATTTACATAAAGGTCATGAACATCTAGCTCTCACTGGCAAAACTGAAGACAGACGAGACAGGCCCATGTTTGCATTTGTTTTAGTAGAGGTTTTACGGCGCTCGCAACTGTTGAAGGTCGTATGAGCGCCAAGGGGTGGATGTCAACAGAGAAGTCCTTACACTTACAGGGAATCAGACTTACTCTGCTGACCTCTCTAGCTTCTACAGCACAGAGTCAGCTTCGACTATCAAGGCACCCCGGAAATAGCGGGTCGCAAGAGTGTGACAAACGTACAAAAGAAGTAGAGGGAAAAAATGACAGTAAGGATTAGGAAATAAAAAGCAGCAGATCCCTGTTGCAGTCAATGCACAGTTATGAGCAGGGCCGCGTTACCCGTAAGGCTGTCTAGGCTGTAGCCTAGGGCCCCGCGCCTCAGGGGGGCCCGCGCTTGCAAACACGACGTTTAAAAAATGTTTTTCCCCCCCAATAAATTGTCCTCATGTTGAATTGTTGTCGTTATTTGTTTGTATTGATGTTGTTTTTACAGTTGTTGTTGTTGTTGTTGATGTTCATGAGAAGGATGTTGATGCTACCGCTGTTGCTGTTGTTGTGGCTGCTGCTGATAAGTTTTGGCTGCCTCATACTTTGTAACAGAAATAGATCTATAAATGTGCTTGTTGTCGTCTTAATCCACATTATTGGTGGATACCGGTAGGCCTACATCTAATCACGTTTTACAGTATAGCTTTCCATCACTACGGGGCTACAATGCGGTAGTAGTAGCATCATCAACAGCATCGAGGGACCCCGGCCCCGCGGCTCATGGACAGCCTAGGGCCCCGCACTTAGTTAACGCGGCCCTGGTTATGAGAATGACATTGATGAATCAGCCCATTTACAATTATAATTCTACTGTGCATAAGAACCCATAAGAACTCAAGATGTTAATGCC